CGCTGTCAGAGCTTACAGGTGAGCCATTTAATTTGTCAGATGAAACTTATCCGTTAAATAAACTATAACCTGGCGGAGAGCAACAATCAAAATATTCTGTTAGTACAACTGTAGCTTTTAATTTGTTTATGTTGTATTTTAATACTATTTACGAATAAATTTTATCTGACAATTGATTAATCGGTTTTTCATCCTATTTTCTTCTCATATACAAAAATTATTATTTGTTTGTTCGTATTTTATGTATACCATACCGTCCATCAGATTGTGCTAAACCTTTATCAACTCAGCTTGCACTTGCGCGAGGCATAGGCGTAGGCATACTACAATTAACTTAAAACAGGTGGCATGTCTATCGTACCGACAAATTTATTTGAAAGTTATATATCATTCAATTTCAATGAATTTATTGTCATTCCTAATTAAACAAATAACTTCTTTCTAAATCTTACAAATTGAAAACTATATTTCCACAATTATTTCTTCTGCGGTAGCAATACACCTGGTACCAGCTGGTTATATATTATTTACACTTTTGATTTTCGGCAAAATATAGCCAACCTTGTCTGTGACTCCTCTGATGGTACGTTAGGTCTTTTAACTCACTAACAAAATGGTATGAATTCTTTGCAAAAATACTGTCACCACTGAGAGGACATACCAGAGCACACACAAACGGACAGCTCGCTAACAATAAAACTATGGTCAGTTTTGATGTTCGGTCGCTATCCACATGCCTGCCAATTGAATACTACACATCTAAATTGTAACTAGGAAGCTAAAACATAACAACATGCCTGCTGAATATGCAGTATTACTCAAACACTGCCTCACATCTGGCTATCTATTGTGGAAGGAAGAGTTCTACAAGTAAGTAGATGGTGTGGCGATGGGTTCACCTGTATCTCCCATAGTCGCCGACATATTCATGGAGGACTGAGGAGAAAGCCCTTCTTACTGCTTCTGTAAATCCAAGATTCTACAAGCGAAACGTAGACGACACTTTCACAATTTTTACCATCTGACAAAGTAACTGCATTTTTAGACCACTTTAACTCTATAAGCTCTTAAATACAATTCACAATGTAGTTAGAGGCAAACAATTCTTTAGCTTTTTTAGATGTTTTAGTAATCTGAAATCCTGATAACACTATTGGTCACATTATGTATAGGAAAAAGATCATCATCCTTCACAGTTAGCTACCGTGGGTAAATCTTTGTTTCAGAAAGAACAAGGATTTTGTGACAGAAAACAAGGAATTTGTGGCCGCCGAGCTTCAGCACGTCAAGTAAGTATTGCAAGACAACAAGCTTCGGGTCCCGCGCCTACGTCACAGTCACCGAGAGAAGCCGGCCTCAGTCGAGCATGTGCCTGCTGTACTACCGTATGTGAGAGGAGTCACAGACAAGGTTAGCTACATCTTGAAGCGAGCTGCCATTAAAACATACAACAAGCCGCCTAAGATTACTCAATTTTTACCATCCGTCAAGTGTAATATTACTCTACAAGATGCAGGAGTGTATAAGTTAGATTGTGAATGTGGTCTCTGTTACATAGGTCAAACAAAAAGATCCATAAAAACCCGCGTGAAAGGATATATAGCTAACGTGAAGCACCACCGCTCCGGGAAGTCTGCAGTCTATGTACATGTTCAAGATCATCCCCACCATTATATCAGATTTGATAAACCACAAATACTCGCAAAAGGATACCGATTCCTACCAAGAAGGCGAGGCTATTGGAATTAAAAAACATCCTAATTTCAATAGAGAAGATGGATGCGTGCTGCCATCTCCTTGGGATCCTATAATTAACAAAATTAAACCCAAACCCAAGCATACTACGGCAAGACCTCAAGATACTGTAAGTTGGTTCTGCGTAGACCGGACCGAAAATTAATATTAAAAAACTGAAGGTAGCGGGGTAACTATGACATTGGGATGTCAAAAATTTGAGTCTCCCCATGGGTGCCCATGGGTCCCCATGCCCATGGGTGCTCTAAAGCACCCGAAACGTCAGGAATTAAAAATAAGTTAAAGTAAGTAAATTGAACGCGATGGAATCCGTAAATATAGTTTTATTCAATGTGTAGTGTTCGCGTAAATTTAAGAAATCATTAAAACACTGTTTCATTATGTACTTATTTTACGCTAATCCTCGGTAAAGATAACCCATTTATACTGCAGCGATAATATAGCTGCATAATGCGGTGTAGCGCCGGCGCATAGTTCTTGAGTAACATAACTCTAAGCCTACCTCGGATATTTATTATCATTGTAATTACGCTTAGATGACGGATTAGCGACTGCAGTACTAGATATCGCGCCTTTTTGATGCTGCTCCATGTCGCTATTTTGTATATATTTTATGTCTGGCGTAAACGAGATGAACGAATAATACCACCTACTGCTTAAGTATAAATAAAAAGTACGTGAGGGTAATATGGTCATTCGGCTTATATGGTTACTTTCTTATAACTCAAAAACTACAGCCTACTGTTCTTCTAATTTTCTGACGTCTGATTGTATATTATTGATCGAAGGTCTGATTTCATTAATATGTTCTTCATGTTCCTCTTCCTCTGCCAAAAGGGCGATAATCACCAAATCCCAATCGATCATATTGAACACGTCTATCAACGTCTTTTATTTTGGCATGAAATTGGTCATGCACGCCCCCCTAGCAACCCAGAGCACTTTTAATGGATCTTGCTCGCGGAGGCGCGCGGATGCCGCTTGCATGGTCGTGTAGTCAAAATTTTGCTCGAGCATGCGCGAGCATTTTGCAGTTCGGTCTGCGCTTACCCTAGGGCGGAAAAGCTTAAGGTGATATTACCCTCATCAATATAAGTAAAAAGTATGAAAGGTGTAGTAGAATGGAATAGAATAATTTTTATTCAATATATAATTACAACAATATATTATGAAAGTAATTAAAGCTTTATCACTGGTTCGTAAAAAAACTCTGTCCTGGGAAGAATCAGCAAGAAACTCAGCGGGATTTCTTTAAATAATCATTTATACACTACCGATCCGCCCCAGCTTTGCACGGGTGATTTCTGAATTTTGACAATAGCACCAACTACTGGGTAAAACTGAGTTTTTAAACAATCAACCCACTCAAATACACACCTCAGATGAAGTAAAAAAGGTAGATACAGCGCGGCCTTTGTTATTGGTGAAAGCAAAACCTCCACTCCTTTACGTAAGCACGCGCGTTCACGCACATACATGCATCAAACTAAATAGTAAATTTGCCCAAAAAATGCCTTCCTGTGTAGTTAAATGATGCAAAAACAATACTAAAGTGAATAAAAAGTCTGAAGCAATAACGTTTCACTCGTACTCATTAAACTATAGTTTAATTTGTTATTCCAACACAATTTTGAAGGTTATTCGAAGCACGAATGTCAATGTTTCGAGATTACGCAACGGGAGAATGTTGCCAGTATTTCTTATTTCTAATGGTCCAAGATTTGGGTAATTGATTTTAGGCTAAGTTATAAAAATATGTGTAGTCAGCATATTTTTTTTAATTAGTCGTTATCATGTTACATCAAATTGAAGTCAAGATAAATATTTATTTTTTTAAGTCGCTGATGTTTCTGTTTTAATTGTTGAGTACTTACAAACTATTTTACTATCAAAAAATATTTATGATTTTCGGCTACCAAGGAATATTTTAATAAGATACCAATTTATTACGTGGTGAGCCATGATGCAATTATACTAATAGTAGTATAGTTATAGCACGAATGGGTCGGCTCAACCGGGGAAGGACCACGCTCTCACAGAATACCAGCGTAAAATAGTAGCTTAATGCTGCTGTTTCGTATGGTAAGTGTAGAGAACCGGAAACCCCTTTGACTGGAAACGAGGCATTCCATCATAGTCCTCACGAGTGACAACGCATCTGCATTTTGATTCGTAATTGAGAATATATGTATTTGTCTATGGGCCACAACAAAAATACTTATCAGGTGGACTGTATCCTCGTTTGTCACCGTATCCTATAAAAACATGTTTTACATTACATATTTATGTTATATATTTTATCGATGCTTACATGCTCACTGGAGAATCTATCAAGAAGACTTAAATGATCTACAGACGCCTCCTACGTGCTTCGTCTTTTTTTGAATAATCAAATTGTTGAAATTTATTAAAACAGACGGATATACTTTCGCATTCGCATCGCATATTGCTCCTATAATTGTAGTATTGTATCTCTATTTTCAGAGACTTTTAAAAAAGTGGCAACACTTCTTTGACTCACACAAAGTTATAAAATTGGCCACAGTTTTTTGTTGTAGGTGCGATATCTACCTTTTTTACTTCATCTGAGTTACACACAAAAATTCATGAAAATTAGTCAACCCATTTTCGAGTTTTTGCGAGACTAACAACAGCAATTGATTTTTATGAAACAGGATTATAGCGATCAAAAACAGATAACAATATACAATATAATATTTAATACAGTTAAGTATGATAATATTTAGAAACCGGATGGTAACTATCACCTGATTCCCAGGGGTTATTATCAATCATGTAATCTCTAGCAGTATAATATCCCTTACTAAACAATTTTTCCTTTATATAATTTTTAAACTTTCTGACAGATAAGTCTTGCATAGTGTCAAATATGTACGCACTAACCCAGAGGCATTTATTCGTTACACTTACCTAAGCCTGATTTACATTTGTATATAAATTGAAGGACTACATGCAAAGAGTACACGGATTCATATTTTTTTACAATTGAATATATGATTAAATAATTTAAATAAACTAACAGAAAAGCTATTTTTAAACAGGGTAAGATAACGAAAGGATACGCTGAGATGTTGTTTTGAAATACTGATAAGTTGATCTATATTTGTTAATTAAAGACACGTATGAGATTACATTATATATCGTAATAGAAATATCAATATAGAAGATATCGTAGGAATCTATATGAGTAATGAAATGTAAAAGATTTTATCATTTTAAATCAGGAAATGGTGCTATTATGGCTCCTAACTTTTTTAAACTTTTACTGATTGAATTACTTGTTAATAAGGTACGTTGTGCATAAGAATTGCTTTATATTTGTAATTGTAAACTCCAATAATAAAATTTTAATAATATATCACTTTTAAAATTTAGCAATATTGTGTATTGTTAAATTTATTATGTAAATTATTCTTGTTTAGTGGTGGTGTAAGAATACCCACTACCCCACATCGTCCCGTCAGTATCGTAAGAGGCGATAGAAGGTAACAAATCAGGAGATGGGCTGCAACGTCTCTCTACAATTTACTAAAAATAAAAAAAACTGCGCTTGCCAACGTGCTTGTCAAGCGCGGCAACTATGACCAATATCCCCCTATGAGGCAATTTAAGGGGGAGGCCTATGTTTGCAGGGGACTTTAATAGGCTGTTACGGTGATGGTATTTTTGATTTTATTTCAGATTAATAGAAATAACAAAGGTAATAATTACAAATATGTAAAAAAAATATTTTCAGGTCATGTCGTCGTATCTACAGCAAGCACAGCAATATTTTCAAGTACCGGGACAATCCTATTACCAAATTTCCGGAACGCCGCCAACGCAGGCAGTGTCGCATCCTTATAAGCCGTCGGTACCTACTTCATACCAACCTTCAGTTAGTTCAACGTATATGGACTACTCTTCATATCCAACACTAACATCGCCGTATACAGTAGCCGAAAATTTTCAATCATATAAGATCCCAGTACCAAATTCCGCACAACCGCCAAAAATACCTTCTTCTCCTTTAGTGTCTAAACCAACAAACTCTCCAAAAATAACACATTCTGGTTATGACTCAAATGTTTTAAATAATTTAGCAATTGCTTTACAATTATTAATTCTCAATAATTTGCTAAATACGCCGATATCAGAACAAGTCCTAATACCTAATCCTTTCTCAACTCATCAAAAAACGAAGAATGAGTACGAATCAGTTCAGACTATAAATCCTGTTGCAGCTTATTACGAAACGTCATCGTCTTATTCTAATAATTATCTCAACTCTCATGTACCTGTTAGTCAATCATACTCCACACATGCTCAGCCAACCGAATATAGGGCTTATTTTGAAACAAACCCTTATGACCAGACCACACTTTCACAGTATTCTCTACCAAATGCCAATTATTTAGGATCTAATAACTTGGGTGGGTTATTGGGCTCGTTTGGCGTGCCTCCTGCTACAACTAGGCCAGGCTTAAACTTGAAGTCGCCTTATGATGCTATTGCATCAGCACCATTTTCCGAAAACACGTCTTCATCGCCATTTGAATATACAAAAAATGACTTTCAATCACCGTATTCGGCGATTCTGGCAGCCGATAATAATAAAGATTTGTTTTCCATAGATTTTTAATAATATAATTCATGATATAGTAATTTAATATATGTAAATATATTAACTTATGTTTTAATAAAAGTTTTGTTATAATTCAAAACGTGTTATCATTTTATTGCCTACTTTCAATTTAAATCGTTCATAAACTTTATTAAATATTAATATATATAATAGTCTGTGTGAATATCGAAGTACATGCGGAACTTCAAAAGATTTACACCAAAAATTATCACTATAGGGGTATCAAATTAGAATGCACAATTGTTCAAGTAAACACTAAAGTAATACAATGCGTTCATTTTATTGTTTTCGATGTTTTTTTATGCTCTGGAAAATAACAAGATCGGGGAATATAATTTAATCTCACTAAAACACAAATGTAAAAGGAGGCCAAGTATATACAAACGATGGTCGGGGTTGATGGTCACTTATGCGTTTACCTAAATCATAGATTAAAGAAATTTGCAACGTTTACCAATCGATTTAAATGATGTTTCACATTCATCTTTTGCCGACATATCATTAATTTTCGAAATTTCTTACGTTATGTTACATTACCTTCATCAGATTTCTTTTTCGTTTATACTTGACTGGTTTCTTTATTAAATTTAAATTAGTATAAGAGTTAAATGTCTATGAAGTTATTGGTGCGGTTAGTTTAGTAATTTTGTCAACACAGAACATTGTTATTTTGTAGTTTTCAGATTTTTTTGTGTGCGTAATTATCTACTACCTTGATTCCAAATTTTTTCAAGTTTCGAAGTCGCTTGGAAATGATCTTGATTTCTCATAAATTTGTGAGTCAGTGAGTGATGTGCCTCTGTAGTTACGGCGTAGGAGGGACACTGAAACTAAAACTGTATCTCCAGTTTTACTTTCAGTGTCCCTCCTACGCCGGAAGCAGCATCTTTTTGATAACAACTGAACAATATTAAAAAACTCGAACTAAAGAACAAGATGAAATTAATAAAAACGTTGAAGACAGAGTCACGTGGTCAGCACATAATCGTTGCGTAGCATTACAAACGAATTGATCTCTCTCCGTACACAAAATCGCCAGTAGTAGTAGTAGGTACCTTTGATATTGAATATGTTATACTGTGTAAATTATCTCTAACATTTTCGTTAGTTCAAATGTTCATTGGCCAGGTGGTGGCGACGTCAAAGAATCTGTAGGCGTTATAAAAGGTGACTTTGAGGTAGGCTAAGAATATCTTATGACTACCGATAGATGGCAGTATAACCATTTTGTTTAATCCAGATGTAAAATACTTAGATCTAGATCTCCGATCGCCAATTCACATGCCCAGAGTGACGCTTAAGGAAAATTTTGCCCTCAACGGGTGAGGCATGAGGAATGACCTGTAGTGAACTTTTTTCGGAAACCGGCTTGTTCGGGAGGCTGGAAGTCGTCGAGTCCGCGTGCGAGATGATTTGTAATGACTCTCAAAAACAGCACGTAAACGCAGCTCAGAAGGAAAATTGGTCTATAGTTCTTCAAGAGAGCGTTGTCGCCTTTCTTGAAGAACAAGACCAATGCACTTCTGCCCACGCCTCTGGAGTAGTGCCACAGTGGAAGACAGAATTTAAGTTTCAGAAGGACATTAAGTTCCGGTGTTCCACCCACTTTCAGAAGCTCCGCTGTAATTCCATCCTCGCCTGGGATCTTGCCGTTTTTAAGGTGCTGGAGAGCCATTCTAATCTCGCTCACACCGACGTCCGGGATATTATCAAAATAGTGTCGGATAAGAATTGCGCTTGGATCATTACTTACACCTGCGTGTGGCTCCAACGATGATGTGTACAGCTGCCCATGGAACCTCTCAATCTCACTCAAAATCTTATGTATCCTGGAAACTATGCTGCCACACTCAGTCTTCAGCTTTGACAGTTGGCTCTTTCTAACAGACAGATCTCTGGCAAAGACTTTGGAGCCCTGGTTCTGCTCAATCACTTCTTCAATACGAGTTGTATTGAAGTTGCGTAAGTCCATCCGCATGCATTTGGAGATCTGTCTGTTAAGTTGCCTGTATGCTGTCAAATCTGCTGATGACTGCAGCTTCATCTCCCATCTTACAGCCAGGAGATTAAGAGTGTGATCAAAGAGTTTTTGTGTTCTTCTAGGGTGGGCCTTGCCGAACTTAGCTCCGACCGCATGGACAGTTTCCACGAGCTTGTCATTAATATCGTCCACCACATTGCAATCTTTTGAAGATTATTATAAGAAAAGGTAAAATTTTTCGTATTGCTGTGTAGTGTGGAGACCGCACTATGCTAACCATTATTCACGGCTGAAAGGATAAAGAGCAGATTCTTTTGGGCGTACTTACTCTTCTGGAATAGTACGAAGGGGCTTCTCTCACTCTTGCTAATAAAGACTGAAACATTTTAATATAGACTTTCTCGAAAACGCAGCGAGCAAACGAGCTATTATCGAAATTTTATTTTGAAAAATTTTAAGAAGTCAAATTTACTGTCCTCAACTTCTAAGTTACTTTAATTTTAGGTGTGCCCAGGACACTCCCGCGAGGTCTCGTTCTTCCACTTGTCCCTCCATTTCGTAGGACTGTGCTTGTTAAGAACTCTCCTGTAGCTAGGTTAAGTAAACTTAAAAGAAGGTCAGTAGGAGGATATAAATTTTTTTCTCCGTACAAATTTCTTAGATAAGTACTTGTTAGATACAATTTCAAATTAAGTTAAATATCCTTTATATATTTATTATGCTCATATCTAAATTACTAGTTTTTTTGGCTTAAAAATATTTTTTTTTTCTTAACATAATCTATAAATCAAGATTTAAATTATGTCTGTGTCAGATGTTATTAATCACGTGTAAGTAATTGTGCAATTAGTATAAGACTTTTAAATTTAGTATGTTAAATTACTTTTATTAATTAATTAATTGTAGGTAGAACTTTTTAAATAAAATAAAAATAAATAAAATGTATTAAAGAGGCCTATGTTTAGCAGTGCAGTTTTATACGGTGTAATGGAATATTATAATAACATGTTTCATCCATCTACGTAAAATAAAATAATTTCTGAGAAGAACGTTTCTGAAATTTATTCTAACCAAAAAATTTATTGTTAAGCTATCTTGGTAATCATTTTGGAAAAGATTGCAAAAGAATAATTAGGTAAGTACTTGAATTGTGATTTTTATTTAATCATAAAAAGTTTTATTAATAATTATAAATAAAAATAAATTAACTTTATCATAATAAATCATTTAAATATTTTTTAAAGTTCTTAATCACATGAAAATTGTATTTGATTAATATTAGGACTAGATGCACACACCGGAGAGTTAAATAATACGATATTTGGAGTATTAGACGCTGACGGTGGTGAATTTGATAAAGCCACAGAATTTGTAGTTGAATAACTGTTAGTATTATGACACACTGGACAACGACAAATCATCGCTATTTCATCTAACAATGGTCCTACCACTTGTCCAAATACCGGTCTCTTTAAAGCGTTTTGTTTTAATTTAGCTAAAGCAGCACTTTCTATTTTTGCAGCTAAGTTTCTACAGAGAATAATCTCTTCTAATGGTGTACTAGGGTTTGGAATTCTTGACGATACCCGTCCTGTTAATGCTTCTACAATTGGAGATATTGCTAATTCAATGGGCGCTTTAGGTGAAAAAGGCAGAAATTGGTATTGTGCTGTAATTACCTGTAATGAAAGAACAAAATAGGTATTACATAAAAATGGTGTCTGAAACAAAAGAGCTATTTGTTTAGTAAAATAATAAATAAAATGTTATGGAATTCAGAAAGTGAAGATATAGTTTTTAGGTGCATAATTAAAACTGAAAAGGAATAAAATATAAATAGTTTTCTAACTATGTGGTGCATTACAAAACTATAGCGCTCTTACGTTATAGTTTTGTTAGATTCCAACTTCCTACTTCGTCCCGTAGATGTCGTTAGAGGCAGTTATGGCATATGCTAAAAAACCTCATAACTTCCGATATATGGTGGGTTAATCATCTCTTTTATGCCAGGCGTTAATATAACTAGACCGGAAAGAGGGAGCAGTCACAATAAATGTGCGAAACGTCTGGAAGCGTGACGATAAGGCAAATTCTTTATATACGACTAAAGAGGCCCATTTTCTATGAGTGTACTTATACATGCTCATGAAATAAATTTAATGATGATGTGTAGTTAGAAATGCCTTTTGAACACCTACCTCTAACAGAAAAGTCACCAATAAAATATTTTTTAACATTTTGTCTTATTGTTTATTAAGTATCAACTATCGTATCGCATACGAGTGTAACTGACAATCGAATTGTTGTTTTATACAAAATGCTTACATTTTAAGGCAGTATTACAAAATAAACATGATCGTGTCTCGTCTGCATAATTCTTATCAATCATTAGAAATATCAAGTTTTTATCTTTCAATTATCATCACAGTATTAAAAAATAATCGAATGTTTAAAATCATCTATTGCATTTGTTGCACCAGCATTTAGACGTTTAATCGCGATAGATGTAGATATCTATGGGCGACAGCATCCGTTTGTAATCAGGTAGACTGTGTGATCGCTTGTCATCCTTTTTTTTGTTATATTGTATAAAAAGTATGAGAATGGTGCAATAGATTAGGCGCACCACTACCTGCTCACGCACTCGTACGTTATAATCTTGTCCAGCGCAGATGACTAATTTAACTGTACAAACTATACGATATTAATTTAGTAACCCTTAAAATTTTGGTAGTTTGATACGCGATGGTATTATCGAGTTTACATCATCATCATCATCATCACTACAGCCAATCAAAATATACTGTTGAACTTTTTTTGCTTTTAATTTGCTATAATTACCACGCTCGGCAACTTTAGTGGATTCTCTTACACCGCCACTACATAGCGAATATTTCAAATTATATTCAAAATATATGTATTTTTGTGACATCACTAGTTGTTTGAAGCGTGTTAAAAGCTGTATAACAACGTTCTTATTTATATTTTCATCCTAGAAGTAAATATTCAGCTAAGGAGGTGACGAGGTGATCATTTGCTTAGGATTCTGTGATCATTAAATCCAAACCTAAGTATGCGCAAAACTTTAAGATACAATGAGCTCACTAAGCAACGATCGAACCAAAATTAACAACCAAGAGCTAAGGTATAAGACCGGAACGTCGATCATCTCAGTTTTTCAATTATTCCTTGTTACGTCCTTTGGGTAGGGTTACATGAGCACCATAAGATATCATCATTTCTAATTAGGTGTCTTCAAGAGAGATGTAATGATAAAAAATATCTATGCTAGTATGATTTACCATCCAAGACTGCATAATCATTTATGGTCGGGTGGGATCGTTGTCAAACACTTTTTAAAGGGGAAATGTCTCAAATACCCGCTTCGCGTGTGCAAGCACGATATATGTCGACCCACACTGCCAAGACGTTACGGCTTTCCACCTTCGGATTCTGCTCTCCTCTTCAGAAAGCAAACCTGTCCATTAATATGCATCTGAAATACGCTCGTTAAGCCCCCTCGGAGCAGCCTACTCGAGCTGGGATTTAACCGCAGTACAGCCATGATCCTCTAATTTGATCGTGAGTGACTAAGCAGCTGCTACCCTCCTCTCAGCACAACATTGCGGGAACCCGGGAAACAAGCTTAAAACAAAAAAAAATCCTTCAAAATTGTCTTACTTATCGTGTAGAATCCGCGTAAATATAAAAATAATATTCAGTAAGGCATAAGATCTCTTTGCATATTACAAAATATTTTTTCAGTCAATTCTTTTGCAACTTTCATAACAAATTCACTATCGTAATAATTTCTATATCTAGAAATTTCTTATGGTAATATGAATAATAATAATAAATACTCAATGAGTGGCTGTTGTGATAAACAGTTATCAAAATTTTATGAAATATTATTGCAGACATTATTAAACATCAACATGGTTAAATAAGTATATAAAGCCTGCCTTTATTTCATTACAGCACAATTAGCAATACAATGTGTAAAATAGTATTTTACGCTTTAGCACTTCTGCTCATTTGCAAGGTAAAGTTAATATTTTTAAAGTCTTATAAATTAACAAACTTTTAATTTATCTTAAACAAAAAAATTAAATTGAATTATTTTAAAAGCCTCGTACTAGTAAGCGAAGTGTAGGGTGCCCCCCACCCCACTAGATGGAGTGACGACCTAGTAAGAGAGTGGATGTGAGGGTGCTTTGTGATATTCATTGGAGAAGGTCTACGTTCATCTGTGGACTTCTTATGTGATGTAATGATGATGATGATGATGCTAAAAAATTAAATTGAGTCACATTTTTAATTTTATACATATATTAAATTTACATTTAAATTTTTCTTACAGACTCGGGCACAAATATGCGGCTGTGGTGGACCTCCACCTCCACAAGAAATTCTGACGACCTCGCAAATTATTAGATCGCCTACAACTATTATAGACAATTCGGTGTCGAACGCCCTTGCTAACACTTTGCAATTGCTCATTGTTAGTGATCTGATAGCTTCAACTTTGAATCCCCATGCGACAGTATCACCGTGTACATTACCTACCGTAGGCCCAATTTGCGAAGCAGTACCACCACCTATGATTTATACTCCGACAGTAGACGTATTTGCACCTAGGCCTGAATTTATTTCACCGCCGTGTGCTCCAATAGTAGATGTAATACGTCCCCGTTGCTCATGCATGGAATCTTTGCCTAATTACTATGGTGTCACCGAAGTATTGCCTCCTGTTGCAAATGTAGCTCCTTTGCCACCGTTAGGTTCAAACATATGTGGAATGCAAGAAATTTTATCTCCGGTTCCAAATTGTGCTCCTGTGTTTGGACCTCCGATGTGCACACAAGAAATTGTTGGGCCGTTGCAAATAACATCATTAGTTCCGAATTTTTGGAACGGTTTAGCAGAGTTGATTGGTCCTGTCGGTAATTTTGCGACAGTTAATGAATTAGTATATCCGCCAAGATTTCCTGGACCTTGTAATGTTGAATATATTCCACCACAAATGCCCTGTGGTAATGTGAATGTGGAACATATTCCATACACTGGCGTTAGTTACTTTTATTAATAATATTCGTTTTTAAGTTAACAAATGAAGTGATCTGTAATTTATTAAATAAATAAAAACGATTATTATTCAGAATTTTGTTTATTATTTATAACCGTCTGTTATTTTAAATTCACACTAAGATTATATATATATATATATATATATATATATATATATATATATATATATATATATATATATATATATATGTATATGTGTGTGTGTGTGTGTGTTTAAAATTATCCATAAGGCACTACTCCTTGAACAATCTTGAACGACGGTCCTATACATTCCACGCGCTCTCGCTACAATATATCGCTTAAGAAATACGCTCAAATTTATAATATTTTCTTTATAAAATCGAACTATAGTCTTTTGAAAAAATTCTATAAATCAAAAATGTTCATTAATGAAGTGTTAGTGTTAATCGCAAAATAAAATAAATCTTTTTAATAACAAGTATATATAGCTCCTAAAAACTTCACAAATAATGACTAGCGCGGCATTTTTCTCAAACACGCTCCTTCATCTTCTCCCATAGTTGACGAACTGTTATACGAAGAATTGAAATTGATAGGCGAGTGTTTCGGATGAGAGGTTATGACGGACTGACTGGTATTGCTAGTATTGAAATAAGAAAGTAGTGGGAGTGCTGACGGTGTACTTTGTGTCAGCGTATTCCTATTAAATGGGGATGTATAACAGAATGCTAACCACATAGATCGATAACATCTAGTGTTTTACGCACCTTTAACTGTGCCTATAATTAGACATGGAACGAGTAGTGATTTGCCGAGTATTCGGCTACAGTGTACTAGGTCAAGATTGGGCCAAGTACTCGGTTGAGTATTCGGCTTTTATAATAATAAGGATAAAAACTGGCTTTTTGTCTTTATTTTTATCTGGAATATAATTAAGGCCGAGTACTCGATACTCGGCCGTTAATAGTCGGTGCTCGGCCAAACCCTAAAAAAAGCCGAATCCGCCGAGTACCGGATTCAAGCCGAGTACTCGTCCCATGTCTACCTATAACACATATTTATCTATTTAATTTGACATATAATACATTTTTATTTATTTTATGAACATATTTTTTTTTTGAAATTGAAATTAGGATTGACATGACATTTAGTAAAAAAAATGCGTGACGAATCATAAAACTTTTAACTCATATTGACTATTGTATGAAAAGTGGGAATTAAATATATAATAACATATTTAAATTAGTAATACCTCGATGACCGACCTTTGCTCGGTATTTTTTTTAGAAATAATTTTTTTGTAAATTATATTTGGATACAAATTACAAACTGATGAAATATGAATAAAAATTTTCGGTCTACTCGATCATTATTTTTCGTGTTTTAAAAAAAATATACTAAAAAAGGGCTCCAAATAATATATTTTCTCACAAAAGAAGAAAAAAAGGAAAAAAGAGTTACACCGGAGACATTTGGGCTCGAAGAGGCGTTCTATGATTTCAGCACAGCCCGATATCCCATTCGAGCTGTTATAATCTTCTAGGCATTGGCAAAATTTACTTTCGTATTCTAATGATATTGTAGCAGTTTTTCATTACCTAAAAACATGGATAAAACGACATTTTCTAAGATTATTATATATATATAAATTCAGTTAACGTTTCAATAAAGGACAGTCATCATCATTATCACATTCATAAAGTTCATTTCCACGTTCACTTGGAAGAGAAGATTGAATTGGCCTCTAAAAAGTTTGCCGTGCTCCGTTGAATGTTTACAAATTCAAGTTCGGCCTCATATAATGCAATATTATTTTCATCCGTGCACCGGAGAACCCCGTGCCAGCTCTTTTGACTTATCGTATTTAGCGGCGTGCGGCTCTAATCGTTAACGAACGAATTCAGAGCAGAGCATTTGTTCATGTGCAATCGAAAGAACCAAAAAAAAAAAAAACGGTTGGTAGTGGTTGGTGCACCTAAAAAACTTTACCTGATCCCATTTGTTTAGAAACAGGTTTTTTTTATTGACCTGCGTTTTAGTCTAGTTAATATTGACTTATGTGGGATTTTGTCTAAACTTGTAGGTATAGTGTCAGATATCGGTGAACTTCTTATTAGTATTAGTACTGAAACTTGATTAAAAGGCATTTCTGGAGTAGAAGTCTTCAAAATTGAAGCCGTAGGCGCTAGTGCTCTCTGCTCCTGTCTTATAGGCCTATATAATGAACTGGGCTGCTACGATCTATAAAATGAGAATTAATAATTAATTATTTCCTTATAAATTAAACGTTTAATAAATTAAATTTTTCAAAAATGTCGTTAAAGTGGATGAAAAAGAAAATCAATCACCCCATTTCATTCTATAGGTGTAGCCAGAGCCGACTATGCACGAAATACCCCGACCAGCGACGGGAACGACGGGTTAAGGAGCGACACGTTTAGTACTTCAATCTTCAATGCTCCTCCCAAGCGTGGCGTTCAAGCAAATCCTTCCTACAATAAGAACTTAAGTACGTCATTAAATCTGTCCTAAATGTTTCAACGAAAACGTTTAATTTCCTGAGCAAAGGTGTGTACTGTAATGTTGAAAAGGTGTCAATGAAGGAGACATGCAGATGGTACTAAATCTTTAATCATAATGCACTAATTTTTTCTACCTTAACCTTAATACATATAGTCGAGGGGCTGCACCTCCCACCGACAAAAAATTATTTTATTAAAATAAAAAGTTACTAAAAATAAAACAATGTTTCACGTATGTTATAAATGTCTTGGCTTGGGTATGGCGGCTGGCTAAAACCCCTTTAACTGCTCATAATAATTCACAGTACTCAAGTTCTTAAGCATATTATGTTTCATCTTACAATTGAAACGATTTCCACATGCCGCTTTTAGCTTTCACACATAAAACGTGTGAGTTAAATAATTAATAGTGATAATAAATTACCATAGTTAAACTTACATTCCTTCTAATTTTTATAGAAATAAGGATGGCAATCAGTTGATGCTCTTTGTTCATACTAACCAACGTCTATTGTCGATTAAGATCGTAAATTAATGTGATCGTTGTCACCCCTAAGGACTAAGTTGGAAAGCCGCATTATTAGTAAAAAGGGAGTTATCGTCACTCAAGCACATGGAACACAGTAGCACTGTGATGCGATTTTAGTCCATTTGGTGTTGGTATTCTGTGCAAGTTTGATCCGATCAAGCCAATCCAGTCGTGTTGCTTGTGTAATACTTATCTGCTTGATTTATGCAAAATTTTTATTAGCTCAGATCACAGAAATCGTAATACATAATAAGACAATAGAAAAAATTAGTGCTCGATCACTTCCAAAACCGATGTTGCACATCTTACCGTATTATAAACATACGCAATACACAATGACATCTAATGTTTCACATTAGATTGCTTGGCAAGTTTTTCAACGTCGCGTGTGTCGCGTATTACGGTAGAACAAAAGCAGCAATGGTAATTGTACAATACGAAAAGTAATAAATGATTAATAATCATAATTACTAAATAATCAATTTACTGATGAAATGTTATGCCTTTACTTTTATCAAGGACGTTGAATTACACGTCCTTGATTAGTTTTTACAACCGATTATGCTTCAGTGCACCATTATAAATTTATAATAACAAAAATTCGCGTACGACGTTCCCCGCACAACTAAATCACAAAATGGTGAATCATGTTCGTCAACCCACATAAGCGGCGACAATGTCACGCGTCTATGCGACTTGGTGACTATGGTGAAGGAAAACATCGTGAGGAAATCTTAGTCTGAGAAATAGAAAAAAAATATTTCAAAGTCATGAGAAGTTCGCCAACACGCATTGGGGCAGCGCCTCTCAAAAATGAGCGGAGGCCTGTGCCCAGGAGTGGGACGTCTATAGGCTGTAACTTTAACTTTTTAACTTTAACTTCAATTTAAGTTCTGGTTATTAGACAAATAGTTATGATATTAACATGATGCGATATCTACCCCAGCAAACTGGCAAGTGGCTACATAATGATTTCATATACATTAGTTTATTTTATCAGTAATTAATAATTATTGTTATTTTTTATGAATACAATTTTGCTATAATGAAATATTATTTTCATAAACTACCTCCCGATACAGGAAAAATTTCTAGTGTGTGGCTGTTTTTTAAAAGAACAAAAATAAGAAGAAAAAATGAATTAGTGAAAAACTTATTTTAATTAAAATATAATATTGTTTCATAAATACATTTAACTTAAATTTAATTTGAAATTAAGTACAAATGGAAGCACGCAATATTTTATCTTCACATTTGAAATTGAATTATAAAACGTGAATAAATTGTTCTTATCGCGATCTCTTTTTAAATGCTTATAATATATTATGTTCTTAGGATTACTTCACAATTTTAGTTTAACGTTATCGTCCGAGCTGGAAATAAAATTAATACATTTTATAATTATGTTTTATAAAATGGCTCAAATATGCTATGTTACACGTTATAGAATATTTCCATAGGTTATGCAAACAATTCACGAAGTTTTATACTAAAAAGACGAAACAACATCCCAAAACGTCCCACCACTGGCCTATTTATTTAAGTTAGTAAACGAGCTCACAGTTCGCATGCTATGACCCATAGATATCTACTAAAATCAAAATACAGATGCCCTTTCATTCCTGAGAACTAAGATAGAACTTCTCGTTTTCAGTAAAAAGGCTCTACGATTCTCTTCACTCACCATACGAAACACAGCAGCACTAAGCTGCAATTTCACCCTGGTATTCTGTGGTAGCGTGGTCCTTATTATTATTAGAATAAGTTGATAATAATCCCTCCCCGTAGAGAATAAGCGTTTCCGTCTTTGAAATATATTGTGCGGACATGCAAGCTTAATAATCCGTTCCAGAAGAGAATAAGAGTCTCCGTCTTCGAAATATGTGGTACGAACATGTAAGCTTTCTCGCAATACTTTCCTCACTGCCTAACACGTGGTAAACTAGCATTTCAAATTACAATATTTACAACGGTAATGCCAACAGAGAGAACATAATTTGCTCGGGCGCAATAATTACGAAACTTAAGACAAACTGGCTGTCCCTGAGTTCCATTTACTAGAACTCTTTTGATTCATTATCAATCCCCCATTACAGCCTCTAAAGTCCACTGCTGAACCAATGTTCAGCAGTGGACTAACTGCCTATCCCCGTTGATTGAAGTTTGCCTCCTTAGAGAGATTGGGAGGCGGTTTTACAACCGCAATTTTATGTTCCTTTAAGTTGTTAGTAGGAAGATACTGCTGCTTCTCCCCTGTATCAGTTTTCCTCTGTCACCTCTTACGACATCCACGGGACGATATGGGTTAGTGCATGTTCTGACACCGCCAACACATGGCTATAACCATTTTCTAAAATTTCAAATCCATTTTGATATTTTGATTTGATACCGTTTTCGGCACGATACGACGGGGAGTAGGAACTATATGATAATTAAATTATTAGTTTTAGTTTTTCTTACTATAGTTTTTTTTAATATTTTTTATAGGATAGGGTTACAAACGAGCGCACAGTCCACGTGATGGTAAGTGGTTGCTGTGGCCCATAGACATCTACATCTATCCGCAATTACGAATCAAAATGCAGATGCGTTGTGACCCGTGAGGACTAACAGATCTTTTATATTATATTTCAATAAAAATGTAATAAATTGATGTCATAATTTCAATTACATATTTCGACATAATATTTCAGTGCTTTAGTAATTTTTGAGTGTTACAAATGTTTTAAATAAAAGCTATTGATGTTTGGAAGTCTCTAACATTTTGTTTTTACTTATGGTTTTTATAAAAATGTACGTATGTGTAAACTTCTTAATAAATCCGACAATAGAACGTATAATATTTTACGAAATGAAAATTGATACTGCCAAGTCAGTCTTAATCCTAAGGGAACAGGAGATTAGTTATTAAATATATGTACTTTAGATGTTTTCACCCTTTCTCTGTCCCAAGTCCGATATTTGAATATTCCCATTGTATATCTATTGTCTATATCTCGGACAGGGAAACTGTTAATCATGTTTTTTGACTATCTAATAGTCTTCAAATGGTTGCTTGATTTCTGGATACTGTATAAATATCCAAATCCTAAAAGAAGATTGCTTTGTTGTAAATGACAGTGCGCAGAAAAAGCCTATCTAATATCCAGGCTTGAGTTTTTGTAAAATTTTGCGAAGATTTTTTCTCACCTACAAATTAAATAAATGTCAAGTGCTGTAGATATATTTGCGAAGACAAAAGATCCAGAATAATCTTGTTTAAAAGCATTATAAGAATGTATATTTATTTGTAATTTATTCATGTTATTGCATTAATAAGGTAAATATAGGTTTACAAAATCGTAGAATCGTGTTAGTGTCGATGAGTAAATTTATTGAGATTGTTCCGCGTACTGTAACAATTATCGTGGTATTGTAAAATGTTATGACATTACAAATTACATTTATGAACGTAAAAATAATTATATAAAAGCGTTGACATCATTTAAAATGTTAGTGAAAATAAAAAATGAATATAAAACCAGTTCTTCTTGTTCTAGGTCTTTTATTATACAAGGTAAAAAAAACTTATTGGTCGTTTAGTTTTAAAAATCTTTATTTTTATCTTTAAAAGTTTTAAATACACGTGAACATGAATTGAAATTATATTTGCAGTGTCTACTAAATCACATATAATGTTATTTTTTTTCTATATTTTTTTAATTTCAGATTCAAGCTCAGATCTGTGGCTATGGTGGCCCAACAATAGTAACATCCTCCATTTCTGGATTACCACCCACAAATCCTCCACAAATAATATCAGCACAGGAAGTGTTAACTACGCCTTTATTCGGAACAACAACCGTTGATAATTCCTTATCAAACCATCTTGCGAAGGTTCTGCAATTATTTGTCATAAGTAATTTGATTGAATCAATTTTAAAAACGGTTGCAGGACTTTGCTCTGTGTCATTTTCTAATTCTGTTTGCGAACCAATTATTTCTCAACCAATTATCTCTCAGCCATTTGCCTCTCAATCAATTGTGTACAAACCTACGATAGACGTGATTACTCCAGTAACAGAATATATACAACCACCATGCTCTCCAGTAATTGAATACATACCGTCATGTTCACCTGTCGTTGATTATACATCTCCGTGTGGTCCAGTTTTTGACTGCGCATCACAATATGGCCCGATAATTGATTACACACCGTCATATGGAACAGTATTTGAAGTTACACCATCTTATGGCCAACTCATCGAGCCTCTGCCAAATTTCTATGGCGGTATAACAGAATATACATCGCCGTGTGGTCCAGTTTTTGACTGCGCGCCACAATGTGGCCCGATAATTGATTACACGCCATCATATGGAACAGTCTTTGAAATTACACCATCTTGTGGCCAACTCATCGAGCCTCAGCCAAATTTCTACGGAGGTATAACAGAATATACATCGCCATGTAGTATAGTTTTTGACTGCGCGCCACAATGTGGCCCAATAATTAATTACACACCATCATGTGGAACTGTGTTTGAATTAACACCTTCTTGTGGGCAATTCATCGAGCCTCTGCCAAATTTCTATGGCGGTATAACAGAATATATGTCGCCTGTGAATAATCTAGCAACAATTCCTGCGGCAGTTTCGAACTGCTGCGGTGGCGTGAACGAATTTATATCTTCTGTCACAAACGTTGGACCAATGTATACGCAGTCGTATTCTTCTAATAATTTTGACGGATTACAAGAAAGTATTCCACCGATTCAAATGGCACCTCAAGTACCAAAATGTTGTAATTTTTTTCCGGAAATTGTAAATCCTGTTTGTAACACAGGCCTATTTCCTACGGAGATAATATTGCCTTCAGCTATTCCAGCTCATATAATATGTAACATTGAAAGCATACCTAATTCATTGCCGCAAGTACGTATGAACGTGGAACCATTACCCTGTGGATTCGGATTCAATCACTTCGTACCTAATTCATATTTCCATTGAACTGAATAAGTACTATATTAAGTAATATAATATATTATTTATTTAACATCAATAATGCAATTTAGTTTTGTAATTTTACTTTCATGTAGGAAGTGGGGCTACTTGAAAAACATCAGTCTGTTTTTTATGTTATTAATATTGTTCAATAAAAAATAATAAAATCATAATGTTTTTTTTAATTTATAAAAATAAATTACTACATTTATCATCGATTAAGAATCAAAATGCAGATGCAGTAAAAAATGGTCTCCGGATCTCTACACTTACCATACGAAACACAGCAGTATGTAGCTGCTATTTTACGTTGGTATTCTGTGAGAGCGTGGTGCTTCCCCGGTCGAGCCAATCTATTCGTGCTACAACCATAATATAGCTGCAGCATGGCTCTACCATGTAAAGATTAATAAATATAAATATATTAAAATAATTAAATAAACTAACAAGCCCTGTGAATGAAACAATTATTGTATTATCGTCTTATTCGTTTTGTAAGAACTGGCAATCTCTTTTCTATTATTTGTAGAGCATACAAAAATGTATATATTATATTATTAGTTCCGTGCAAGATTTTCCTCTGAAAGCAGTTTGATATGAATATACAACACCGTCGCGGAAATATTGCGTTTTTTGGTAAGAAAGAACCCAGGAAAGTTTTTCGGTTATTATATATACTTCTAAAACTTTCTAAAATGGTACGCATGGGATCTAAGGGACAAATCGAGGTTCTTGTGTTAAGACTAAAAGCATTGCTTTGGCGATCGTGACTTAACATTAAATATAATTGCATCTCTTTCACCTAATACACCATAATTACGCGATAAATTCTAAAAAAGATCGGATGTCAAGTCACACGACTTCGATAAAAACATTCGAACCTGATCACCTGCCAACCTGCTTGCCAAGCGTGTTGAGACTGTTCAGCAGTGGACTTTATACATATACAGGACTTTATGGATAGTTTTAATGCTAGGTGGTGTATGGGTGTGAACATAAGGGGAGGCCTATGTTCAGCAATGGACTTGTGAAGGGCTGTAATAATGATGATGATGATGATGATGATGATGGGTGTGAAAATAAGATAATGCACACAACAAAAAACGAATAGTAAAAATACTGTAGAGCATTAGATAACCAATGTAACTTCGAACTATAAGCCACTTCGTGTTAGTCCTCGGGAGGACAACGTATATTTGTAATGTTCTTCATTTCAAGTTAGCTACTTAGTTAGTTAGTTAGTTACAGGTGTCTGTGGACTGCTGTAGCTACTTACCATCAAGTGGACTGTAAGTTCATTTATCACTTGATGTTTTATATAAAAAAATAAAAAATGTTTAGAATACATTTATTTGTTAAACGTAAGAATTTACTTGTACTTAAGAATTTACTGCTCAATTAAAATTAATATAAATAAAAATTCATTTCACTCAAATTATTCATTAAATCTAAAGACATTTGTAAACAATCCATTGTTACACGTGTTTCCTATCGATTTTGAAGGAACTGCTGAAATGTAACCAGAAGAATGAATAACGTTAGGACTAAAAATAGGAGATGATATTAAGTTAGGTGAAATTGTGTTCAAATAAAGAGGATTTGCACAACCACATGAAAATAAAGGAGAGGATAGCACTTCATTTAAAATTGGAGACGAAAGCTGTAAAGCCAAATCTGATGTTCCTTTAGTATTTTGTAATAGACTGCAAACGACCATTAGTTGCAGTGTATCAGCTAAGTTTTTACACATAGCCGGAGAATAGTCGGTTATTATAGTTGTCGGTGCTGGCAAGAAATTCGACGTTGGTATTTTTTGCACGGAGTTACAAGGAGAGTAGTCGGTTATTATAGTAGTCGGTGATGGAAAGAAATTCGTCGTTGGTATTTGGTGTACGGAATTACAAACATTACAAGGAGTTTCTACTATCGTATTTTGTGATGTAAACGTGGTTGTGATAGGTTGTGTAACCATATTTCTGGGCGTTTCAACGATAGCTTCATTTATATGGTTGCATGTTGGTTGCCTGTTTACACATTGCGCAGTTGCAATCTGAAATAAAAATAACGATTGCATTAAAATTATGTGACTTAATCGCCATCATGATGATCATCATCTTCATAAAACCCCTTCACTTCTTAACATTGTTCACTTTTGAATATAGGCTTCTCCCATGGAATGCCTCAAGACACTATACTGGGCCTATTGCATCCATGAACTGTATGTCTAGTGGGGATAACCCTACACTACGCTTACAACTACGGTAGTCGGTTTAATTTTTAGCGAATTGGTATTTTATACAATTTTAAAAAAGTATATAATCAGGATATTTTCCAAATTTTTCTAATGTTATCATAGTGACTACAGCCTTGCTACCAATTCTAAGTAAAGAAAACATGAAAAGCGATGTAAACTATGAGGACGAAGATGACATGCCTCAGAACCTGCAGTTATCTTGGCTCTCTTACCCTGCAAACCGGTACACAGCAGTGAGGTAGAACTCGTTAGTGTTAAAGTGTGGTATAAGATACTATCACCACAACCTGTAAAAAACTTAAAACTCTCAAAATATGTATGTCGAAACAAATATGTAAGACTATATTTTACAAACAAAATGTGTATAAATTACAAATTGCATATTATAATTACAAACTTAGTAGCTTTAATAGCAGGTTTAACTCATCGTATGTAATTCCTTATAATATTATAGTTAAATAATTTTATGGTTTACCTAATGAATCTGCACATCTGTGTCTATATCTATAATTTTATCGATTATAAAGGAGTATTGGTTATTGATGATAAAAGTTTGTTTTCTTTATCTCGCAAATATTGCATTAAAATTTATCTTTGAATCAAAGAATGCCTTATGAATACTATGAAAGGAACCGAACTCCTTTAATCATTTACACGTTTTATTAAAAAGTCTGTTTTGTTATTTTTTTTATAGTATCCAAGACGTATTATATTTACGAAAAAACTACACACTATTCGAATATTGAGCATAATTCTGAATTATTTACACCCACCAGCGATTCATGCACTATTTTATGTCAGCGATCGTCAAGAAGAGGTCCCCCTACATACCATAACCAGAATATAATTTACAGAAAAACATACCTGATATGGTACAACAGTTAAACAAGATAGTACAAAAAATATCTTCAACATTTTGTAAATTTAATACTAGCTCGTAACTCGAGTATTTTTTTCCAAGGTTTCTTGCGATTTACTGGAAAGCACAGAATTCACTAATATTTATGTGAACCTTATCTGAATATCGTGTCCTATCAAAAATGATTTCCTTAAAAATTGACTAACAGTTTCTCTTTTTAGATTGTATTATCAACTAATTTTGCAATAATTCTGATAATATGCATTATGCAAAAGTCAAAGCTAACAACTGTAAATTATGTCGACCAAGGTGCAAATAATTTTTATTTCATATATTATAGCTTGTAACTGCTCGTCACAATCCTTCTCTGAGTTCTGAGAGTGTTTTAGGGCAAGGAATTGGACCGCCATGCTACCCTAAGTATTACAAAAAAGTCCCAGAAAATATGCAGACATTATCTATCAAAAAGGTTATAATAAGGTACGTGAGGATAGTACGGTGATCTTAAGCTTTGTCGTCCTATAAAACCAAAACTAGGAGGAGGACAAAGACAAAAATACATTATATTAAGAAAAAAATAGCAAACAAGCTATGCCAATAATTAGGAACACTTCGAAAAATCAACTTAAAAAAACCAACTACATTACACAATACTAAAATAGACTAAAATATTTAAGTAATTTAATATCAACTGTCAAAATGGCCTCGATAATGCAGCGCCCTTTTGACCCTTTTTATTTGATTGACTGATGAAGAGCTATCGAATCACAGTCATTTATGTAAACAAGGCTGTAAGTTTTTGAGTTACAAGAAATTGGCCATATTAACCGGATGACCATATTACCCTCACGTACTATATTTATTAAGCAAAAATTGTGTAGTGAGGTTTTTATACCACTACAGAGTAACATGGTTGATAATAACACCTGGTAATAATTAGGTGATCGCTACGATGCTGTTTCTAAATGTTTTCATATCAATCGTATAAAATATTATATTGTAAATTGTGCTTTTAAAAAAGTCCCGCTGCGTTCCGTAGGTTTCGAACAAGTTGTAAAAGTAAAAAAATGACTTTCAATAAGTAGGTACTACATGTAATCTAAAATATTGAATAAAAATAATTCTATTTCAATACGTGATTACGAATTTCTCTTTTTTAATTTTTTTCAGTCATGTAGTTTTTCTCACGATGTTTTCTTTCAGCGTCGAGCACGTGGTAAATCATCGTAAATTTCACAGTACGCGAGTTCGATCAACCACATTTATATAAGTTTAAACAAAATTGTTGTGAGTATAAGAATACTAGAGAGAAAGAGAGAGAAAGACCCATGAAAAACTTATGGACACCCTCAAATATCCTTCCGTAGGTGTGGTGTGTATTCATGCCGGGATAGCTTCTAATTTTTTAACCTGTCTTGCACTTTATCTAATGATAATGCCGGTCTTGCGTTGAGCAATGAGCACTGCTGCCAAATATAGGCTAGCGCTGTGAAATGCCACCTAGTGCAATGAGCACTGCTGCCAAATATAGGCTAGCGCTGTGAATTGCCACCTAGTGCAATGAGCACTGCTGCCAAATATAGGCTAGCGCTGTGAAATGCCACCTAGTGTAATGAGCACTGCTGCCAAATATAGGCTAACGCTGTGAAATGCCACCTAGTGCAATGAGCACTGCTGCCAAATATAGGCTAGCGCTGTGAAATGCCACCTAGTGCAATAAGCACTGCTGCCAAATATATGCTAGCGCTGTGAAATGCCACCTAGTGCAATGAGCACTGCTGCCAAATATAGGCTAGCGCTGTGAAATGCCACCTAGTGCAATGAGCACTGCTGCCAAATATAGGCTAGCGCTGTGAAATGCCACCTAGTGCAATGAGCACTGCTGCCAAATAT